AAGAAAACAAACGAAAAGAAGACGCAGAAAAAGAAAACTGAAAATTATGCAATAAAAAAAAGAAAATTAAAACTCACAGACAAACAAATAAAAAAAAAAAAAAAAACCTAAACATGACACAAAAGAAAAACCGAAATATCTATAAATAATAAGAAAGAAAAAAGAAAGAAAGTATAGCGTTGAAATAACAGATAAGGAAGCAAAAAGAAAGAAAGGCAAAAAAAACTGAACACAAGAAAAGCAGAAAAATGAAAAAAGAAAGAATGTAACCTAAAATTACAGACAAGAAAGAAAGAAAGAAAGAAAGAAAGAAAGAAATAAGGAAAGAGAGAAAGAAGAAAAGGAATGAATAAAGAAAGGAAAAGTGAAGAGAAGAAAGTAAGCTGATATACGAAATGAGAAAGAAAGAAACGGAATGAAAAAATAAAGGAAAAGTGAAGATAAGAAAGTAAGCTGATATACGAAAGGAGAAAGGAAAGAAAGAAACAAGGAAAGAAAGAAGAAAAGGAATGAATAAAGAAAGAAAGAAAGAAAAAAGAATTAGTAGATTAGAATGAAAATAGCTTTGAAAACACAGATAATAAAAGAAATACGAAATAAACGTAAAAATCGAACACAAGAAAAAAAATCGAAACCATTTCTTTCTCTCTCTCTCTCTCTCTCTATATATATATATATATATATATATATATATATATATATATATATATATAAAGTGTGAGATGTATACAGATAGGGGTGTGTGGGGTGAGAGTTAGACAGAGAGAGAGAGTAGTGCAATAGGTACAAAATGATGGCTGGTGTCGTAAGCCTACTTTTGCTTTACACTCGCTCTTTCGTGTTATTTTACACAGAAGACTCTAATAGATTTGATTCCGACAAAAATGGTTATTGATCAATGAATCATTTAGTGATTAACTTGAATACAACATTTGAATAAGTCTAGAATATACATTTGTCACACCATCAGAGATAAGTCGAAGACAATAAAACGCCATTGTCACGAATCGACTTCGTTAGAACTCGGAGGAGATCAGTTGAATTTTTTTTTTCTTTTCCTGTTCTTGTGTGTTTCCACTTTCTTCCTTTAAATCGCTCTTGGAGAATGTTTAAGAATTTGGTTCCACAGAACGATTACTGCTAACTTCAGAGGAAGTAGTTTGGTTAGATCTTTTGCGTTGATATAATAGGAAGCCTATTACTAAGAAACGCATTTACATTATATTTATTTTGCTTGATCTCATATCCAGATAAATGTAATTTCTTCTTTGCTGATCGCTTTCTTTATGATGATGTAAGATAGAGTAGAAGAAAGTGCTGAAGTCCTGAAGTTGGACCTCAAATTTACCAGAAAATGACCCACACACTTGATTTCATGACCTTCCTCTGAGGCACATATGGAATGGGACATGCAGGATCCAGTTATAAAGCTACAACGAACTGATTCGGTTATAATTTCCAGTGGCGCTTTCTGTAGTATGTCCTAAAGGCGTAGCCCTCTTCATCCGTTGGTTCAACCGTTGAGATTTTTTGTCATCATCATCTGCTTGTTTCACCTTTGGTGTTGGTCGCGCTTAGTATGGGTCCTCCAAGTGTGGCTATGTTGGGGATGGGTATATAGACGTCATCAAAAATTTTGACCATCGACTGGAGGTGTACCGCCGAAGCCTAGGCGGACATTTGAGTGCCATGACTTAAATAACATGATCCAATAAAGAAATAAATAAATTTTCACCAATAACACTGATTTATTTACTGCTGACTTTGATCCGTTTTAATGAAACACCGTTTATATATATATATATATATATATATATATATATATATATATATATATATATATATATATATAAAACATACGTTTACACTGAAACTATAAAATTATGTAAAAAATTATCTATAGTTGAAGCATAGAATTACTTACAAAATATTTCGATTTCATTACTTAGAAAATATTCCGATTTCATTAAATAACTTAGGGAGGTTGATATACCGTAAAGCACAAACAAACAACCAATCAACAAGAAAGAACTCATTTATGACGCTAGTCCTTATAATATCCTAGAATTTCTTAAATTAAACGTTATTCCAAAATATTCTGTTAGGTTTCCAGCCCCGCAAACATTATGAAAATATAAAACACATATCTATCAAAGTGACTCAGTTATTCCCTTTAGACCTTCTGTTTAGATAGATAGATAGATAGATAGATAGATAGATAGATAGATATTGATATAGATATATATATATATATTTAAATTAGTAAATTTATAAAAATGTTTTGTAAAAATAAAAATATTAATAAGAACACAGAATTTGTTGTTGTTATCACGATGTTTCGGCCATTGTGCCCTTCGGTCTTCATCAGGTGTATAACGATCCACGTAACCTGTAGGGTATGTCGAACTGAACCATTTATTTAATCTACGTTCTCATTCCACTGCACACGTCTCGTGATATCTTGTTTTTATTTTTACTACTGCTCATTCAGTGCTCGCCATATTACTACTGACGCTAAGTACACACTGCCCAGCCTAGTGTTTGAACTGACAATTATTATATCACCAAATTCACAAACGAACATTTTCATCCACTAGTGTCCTATCCCGTAATTCCCTGTACGTTATGCTGACCGAGATACATCTGATGAAGGGTAGAGAGCTCAGGGGCCGAAATGTTGTGACAGCAACTACAGAGTTGAGAACAATAGCCCGAATGTAAATGGGGTAAATACCTCTGAAGATGTCTCTTGTAAATCGAAAGTTTGCATCTAATGCAAATTCTTGGCTATTCTTTAAATCTACAACAACCACTTAAGCGAAAAGCTATTTGAATTTTTGAAAGAAAAACGATTACGATATATATATCGTTCTTCTTTCATGCACATTTCAATGTATACGACAGACAAGGTGCTTTGATTTAGTTTCCTATACAATTTATCATGTAATTTTTTTTTTTTCTTTTCGGATGATAAATTATATAAAAAACTGTTTAATTGTTCTTTTTATCCGAGCGCTTTCGGCTATACATTTAACCATTTGCAAGGTTGAAATCTATTAACTGTTAACAAGAAATAGTTTGTTGTATGCATGCATTTATAGAATGTTTTCATTTTCAAAACAGTCAAGATATTGTGTCAATGTTCATAGTTGATATTATTGAGTGTTGTTTTTGTTTTTTTTGTTTATATTAATAAGGCTTCCATTATATTTAGCCTTCTTTTGCATGTCGATAATGCTATTATATTTGTGTTGTCAACAAGTATGTTATGAATAACTTCCGGTAGGTCTCCATGATTATTTAAATGAGATCTAATTGAGCTATAGTCAGAAATGTGTAGTGTAAGTCTTCGTGTCAAACATGTTGTAGTTTGGCCTATATAATTATTTTTCGAATTTTGATTAATCAGGAATAAAATTCCTTGATGGCCATAAGTTCGTAAATAATATTTGTCCTATCTAATTTTGTTTAAAGAGGTGAATTATTATTTTAACTTTAAGGTTAGAAGTTATATATATATATCTATATATATATATATATATACATGTGTGTGTGTGTGTGTTGTGTGTGTGTGTAAGTGAAAGTATCTCCCGTACAGCGCCTAGAATTTGTTTTTTCGAACGGTTTTGATACAAGAGGTTAACTCCGCAAACAATGTAACCCCCGTAAAAAAAGGAATGCGAAAGAATGTACACATCCACAATATTCGGAGATTTTACAAACAGCATACTAAAAACACACGCAAAAAGAAGACGTATACACGAAATTACTACGATGATGACTGATGGCAGTGGTGGCAGCTTCGGTGGCAAAATACAATGTCTGTAAGCAATAAAATAAAAATAGTTCAAAGAAAGAACTGGCTATGATAAGTAATTTGGATACTTATGTTGGTTGAAGAAAGTCTTTTTTGCAAAGAAACCGTGAAATGGCCTGCTAGTAGGGGTACTTATTTTCCAGGAGGAGGTCTGTGGTTTGGATTGAGTGGTTAGGAAATTAGTCTGGTAACAACAAAGTGTTCGCTTAGACTGGAAAAAAAATCTTTCAAAGTGAGTACTTGAAGCAATAATAATTTACATAGGAGAATAAATAAAATATATATATATATATATATATATATATATATATATATATATGTGTGTGTGTGTGTGTGTGTGTGTGTGTGTGTGTGTGTGTTAGCTTAGATGTGGCACAAGGCATAAAGTATTTGGGCAAGCACTGAATATCGAATTCACTAATCAGTAGCAATTGATCTCGCAAAACAAGGTAGCTAACCATAACAACACGTGTAAGTGGCAAAAGTGATTTTAGTAAGCGTATTTCTGGCACAAGACAGAAAGAATGGATCATCCAGTAAAGATCAAACTCAGTATTTCGTCGTCATTGATATATATATATATATATATATATATATAAGAAAGAAAGATAATGTAGTGGTTCCAACGAGAGAAAAGTATGTATATTAAATAGAAGAGAAGAGAGGTGCCGCAAACGTTTTTGGTTGTAATGTGGATTTATTTAGAAAAAATATTATGCTTTGTCTAACATAATTTCACGACACGTGTTTCTGGTCTCGCGACCGTCTTCAGGTAAAAGTGGAATTTCCACATATTATTAAAAATAATAATTAATTTTTCCTAATGTTCAATGTTAAATATTCTCGATATGAGACATTTTCTGTTTGTGTGTTGGTAATCTGAATTCGTTTGCGGCACCTCTCTTCTCTTCTTTTATATATATATATATATATATATATATATATATATATATATATATGAATGAAGAAATATATAATATCCTACATTCCGAGTTGGATTGAGCACTGTTTTTTCTGACACTATAGAGTATTTATATGTATTTGTATGCAATCGCTCTCTCGTATTTACCCATTCAGTTATATATATATATATATATATATATATATATACATAAACGTTAACATTGAAGTCAATACTCATGCTAGACGCAATCGTCAGTCCGCGAATTTTGGATTTTGTCTCGATTATTTATATATATGTGTCAGTGGTGCATTGTGGTTAATCTGTGGTGGCGGTTATTTTGGCGGGAGCGGCTTGTTTGTTTATCTATTTACTTGTTTGGGTTAATTTATTTGACTTGTTTTTCATTTTCATTTTGTATTATTTATTCTTTTCGGTTTTTGATGTTTTATTAACGTAGTAAAAGATTTTTGGGACCATATGCTTAGATCGCTTGTTTAATAATTTGTTTGGGCCTGGGAAGGTAATTAAAGCTATTTATTCGTCCAATTTTTAGTTGCTGTAGTCTATTCTGTAATTTAGGCGGGGGACATTTTTTAATTTATTTATTTATTTGGATTATTTTTACTTGTTTTTGCTCTTTTATGCTTATTTTTATTAGTTCTAACTGTTATTTTACCAAGGGCGAATTGTTAATTTGTTCATCTATTCGGATTAATTTTTTGTTGTTTTTTAATAATTTACTTATTTTATCAAACCCTCTCTAAAGAAACAACTAACTGAACACAGAAAATCACGCAAAGAAGAAGTGGTTTTTATCCCGTATTCGCATAGGACACACGCACATAACTCACTCCTTCCTCCTAAAAGACGAAGATCCTCCTGAATAGCATGCCGAGAAATTTATACTGTGAAGCACTTCCTGCTTGATTGCGGTGACATGGCATATATTCGAAAATTATTTTACAATGTGAACAATTTGAAAGAACTTTTCGAAAAATCAAACCCCAATTTGATCTTGACCTTTCTTAGGAAAGTTGGACTATATAATAAAATATAATTCCAATTTGGTGTCTGATGATGAAAGGGGGAACTTTGATACTTGCCAGGTGAGAAATTTTCAAAGAATGGCGCACCTCTGAAAACAGTGAATTTAAAAAACAATAAAAGGAAGACAACACCGAAAAGAAGGAAAAGAAAGGGAAAGTTTTCTTGAAAGCATTTCAACCTTAGCTAAAAAACAAAACAAAAAAAAAATTGCAACCCTGTAACGGCAAGATATATGCCTTAAATCAAAATCAGCATTGTTGCGGTTTTAGCCCCTGGTAGATATCCATGGCCTAAAAATGCCGATTTTTAAAATTTTTTTTCCATTTTCAGTTTATTAATGATTCTGACGTAGTTTGAGGTGTAGATGACCCTAACTGTTTGACCCTAAATGATCTCTTGCTGATCGATGGGTCGTTAAGTTTTAAACAAACAAAGAATTATTTTTTTATTTTGTATATTTTTTATTTACGCTATTTGGTTTACGATTTTTGAGTAACTGTTGTGGTAGGATTCACCTAATTTGCATAGTGGAGTACCGACCATATAAATATGGTTGGTACCGGGAAGACGAGGGGAGGAATCAAGAGATTCAATCCAGAGACTCTGCCCGACTGCGACTAAGTCAACACATTCTCCAGGAACGGTCTTCCCAAGAATATACAAAAGACTATACGTAAATATTGTGTACACTTTCTTGTTTCAATACATTTTGTTCTAAGTACATTTTGTGTTGCATTATTATTCCATGCATTAGTCAAGTTTCAACAGTAACGTAGTACCTTTTTTATCATTTTATGGCAGTTATAGCTATTTTTACGTCCACTTTTTGGATTGGTTATTGTGGTCTATTCTAACGATTATTTTGGCGGGACTGGTTTGTTAATTTGTCCATTATTTATTTATTTATTTATATGGGTTGATTATTTTTACTTGTTTTTTATGTATTTTATTTTCATTTATTCTATTTCGTCTATTCTAACGGGTGTGGTTTGTTTATTTCTTTATTATTTGTTTGGGTTGATTTATTTTACTTATTTTTATGTATATTTTTGTTTATTTGCATTTATTCATTTCAGTTTTCCATTTTTAAGCAATGTAGTAAAAATTTCTTTTCATGTCTGAGATAAGCTCAGACCGTTTATTTAGTAATTTATTTTGTTCTGGGAAGGTAACAATAACTATTTTTTCCGGCATTCAGTTTTTTGATTGATTGCTGTAGGCTGATCTTTCCTTATTTTTCCATAATAATTTTTGGTGTGATTTTTGTTTTGTCTTTAATTTCCCATATTTGGAAAGCATAGTGTTGTTTGCGTATTTACTATTGCTGAAAGATGTTTTATGTGCATAGTTGTTTCTAGAGTCCTTTAGTTGCTCTTCTGTATACTTTTCCTTCATTATCTGGTGATTTTACCGCGGCTTGGTATATGCTTACAAAACAACGTAATATACCAAGCCATGGTAAAATCAAGAAGAAGAAGAAATTTTCCTTACATACCAGAACATTTTTAAGTGCATATCCGGCTGCATAAAAAAGTATTTTAAATCCAACAATACATTTACAATACACTTACTCTTCTTCTTCTTCTTCTTCTTCTTCTTCTTCTTTTTCCTCTTCTTCTTCTTCTTCTTCTTTTCCTCCTCCTCCTTTTTCTTTCTTCTTCTTCTTCTTTCTTCTCCTTCTTCTTCTTCTTCTTCTCCTCTTTCTTCTCCTCCTTCTTCTTCTTCTTTCTTCTTCTTCTTTCTTCTTCTTCTTTCTTCTTCTCCTCCTCCTTCTTCTTCTTCTTCTTCTTCTTCTTCACACCCCCTCCTCTCTTTCTATTACACCCAACGTCGTGCCTTTGTTTATTTATTTTTGAAAATATTAACACTAGGATTGCCAGCTCCTTTGACATCTTTATTTACATTACGCCGTGAAGCAGCCATCTTTAATATATTCAATATTCAAGTCAGGAATAACAAGTCTGAAAAGAAATTCACAAATATTAATATACCTCATACTGAAAGAAAGTGATTATATATATATATATATATATATATATATATATAGATAGATAGATAGATAGATAGATAGATAGATAGATACACCTAGTGAGCCAGACAAACCTACCTAGGTTTCACCTAAACGGATCGACAGTTTTTTGTTTTTTGTTTTTGTATGATTTTAGCTATCGCCTATAAATATGTGTTTCTCTTTGCCTCGTTAGCCAAACTTTCCCTGACGATCCGTTTAGGTGAAACCTAGGTAGGTTTGTCTGGCTCACTAGGTGTATCTAGGTCTGCTCTACGGTTGTATTGAGCTCTTTTGTTAGTTGTTACTCGTATCGGGGTTTTTTTCTTTGGGCTTCAGACCTGCATCTGTGCGATTTTTTGTCGGCAGAAGTTCATGTTTGTAGCTCTTTCTTTTTTTAAAACCTTTTTTCCCTCGAGATTGATTTGATTAGCAAATCAAAAATTCGAGGGTTTTTCGAAACGAGTCTAGTTATCTCTATTTATATATATATATATATTATGTGTGTGGGTGTGTGTATAGATAGATAGATAAATAGATAGATAGGGGTCATAAACACAAGTATTATTGCTTGTGAGAAATTTTTCAATGCATTTACCCTATAAATAGCCCAGGTGTCAAAAACGACACCTCGGCCATTCAAGGTAAAACCTCAAATATCAGCTATTCCACTGAATATTTTTTAAAGAATTAAGTCTGTTAAGCATCTTTGCTAAAATTCAATAATTGTCCATAAGCCTCAGCATCGAACCAAAACTAGTTATTCCATAGGAATTGGTTGAAAATTTGAAGGTGTCGAAAACGACACCTCGGCCATACTAGTGTTAATGTAGCGTTCTTTATTTAAAAAATAAAAAAAACAAAAATACGTTAGATGGTCATTTGATAAAAATTACCTACGGATACCGTAAGGTTGAAACC